CACGTTTACGAATATGAAACGAGACTAGCAATATCGGGAATTAATCTGAAATGTACAATTCTAGAATTTTTGTACCTTTCAAAATTACGAGGATTAAAACGCTAGTGTGCCAGGAAATTTTTAGAAAATTAAGCTCGATTAGATCAAACTTAATTAAAAGATTTATAGAGTAAAAATGGCATACTTCATACTTCGCGAAAAAAAGTATATAGTATTTCTTCTAGAGACTTCGAGTTAACTTTCGTTCATATATTAAATTAAAATACAATTGTAAATTTATTGATATCGAATATCTTCTATTTTCATTTCTCATTTCTTTCTTCCTTCTTAAACGAAAGAATTCACCTTTATAAAGAAAAAAAAAAACATGCTCACGAAGTTTCCCAATTACCAAGATGAAGTAAACTAAAAGATAAAAGATCGCTAAACTAGCTACTAGAGCTAAATTACCAACTTACAGAAGACTGAAAAGCACGAAAATAATTCGAGGGCCAGTAAAATTAAAAAAAAAAAGTAAAAATAAATCGTCGACACCACCTGGTCGTTCTAAGAAACATTGTTCGCATGAATTTAGATGGAAAGAAGCGTACTCATGGCAGAACATCAACTGCATACTGCACAACGTGCTGGTCGGCCAACTGTGGATGGAGCAGCTTGGCTCCCTCGAGATCAAGCAGAATGGTGGAGCGAATTTGAAAGCGACTCTTTCTTTCAAAAGCGCCAGCTGCAACGGGAAGGACCTTCATCGAGTCGAAGGCTTCATAACGGATCACGAGTAAGCTGGTAACAGTTTATCATCCACTTGAATACGCGAACGAATGACTTTCAATCGCGAGTCGATTTGCCTGCAGATAGTGATGAACGTCTCATCAACGAGAGAGATTATTTCGAACGTGAGTGGATGATTTGAGACTCTTAAAAGAGACTCTTGGAGAGCACTTCGACTAGTTTTGTATTTTTTACGCCAATTGAGCGTAAATTTAATTGTAAACGTAAAATTTAGGTGTACCTTGTGCTTTGAAATTTTATAGATTTTTCATCCTAGCTTGGGAGCATTATTATTTTAAATTCCTGCGAAGCACTGAATTTCTATCCGAACTTTTAATAGTACTTCAACAATCAGTTGACCGCCGACTTCGGTCAGTAAATTATTGTAATAAAACATTGTATACTTTACACACAATCTTGGATATTACGTGCATTACTGAATTTTCCAATTTCATAAACACACTTCGTATAATCTGTAATTTATTTATCACTTATTAAGGTTTCCTAAATTGCCAGGTGACTTTCCAAGAGTTTTCAGAGAATATCAGAAATTATCACTGATACAATCAAATCCAATCCTTTGCAAACGTTCATTTTAGTTGCAGCATCATTTATTTAAACTACCTGTTGTATTTTACTTTACTAAAAGTTTCAATTGTCGCGTGGTTTTGAAAAACTATGTTACTGCACACACACACACAC